CCGCCCCCCCCCCCCCCATGAGCTATGGGGCATCTGAGGTCCTGGTGAAAGAACTTCCAAGGGGTGTCACTCCCCCAGGAAAACCAACCACTTCTTGCTTCACTTCTTACTGGTGGCCCTTCTCCTTTAGCCCCGTTCGTTCAGGGAGCTGCAGCTGCTCCAGGGAAAGGGAAGCAGATCTGGACCCAGACTAAACCCTGCTTTGGTTGGCAAACCAGCACCTCAGGGGAAGAGGTTTTGTCCCTGGGGCTTGTCTCCATAGGTGGAAAGCTACCAGCAAAGTTAGAACACAGAATTCTACAGCTGTAGTCATACTGCATAGTCCACCATCCTCACCAGGAGGAGCGGTAGAGCATCCCCGGTGGACAGGCACCATCTCTGCCACACAGTCATCCCCCCGGGGGCTCTTTTGAGTTGGTGCTGGCTGACAACAGCAAGCCCACTTCCTGGCTGGGGGTGAATGCAGCTCTGGAACAGGTCCCAGCCCCACCCTCAGCAGAGCACATCAACCCCAGCTTTGGGCCAGCTTTGCCAAAGAGCTCAGGGCCCAGCAGCTCTCAAGGGGACCCTGGTGGTCAGATTACATAGTAAGAGTTTGGGAAAACTTGTCCCCTTAAGACTCCAAACTCATCCCCTCTCTGGGGTTGTCTCACCACTAGTAACTCAAACACAGCACAAACTTTCACAGCAGCCCACCTAGGACTCCCCCTGCCCAATCCACCCCACCCTGCCTCCAGTTTATAGCCTGGCTGGAGGTAATTGGACCCACCTGCCAGCATGACTAAGGCAGGCCCTGAAGCTGGGCTGGGTTTTTGTTGGTGACTGGACAGATGAGCCCTGCAGTGACTAGGAAATAGAGCTTCCTGACAAGCCAGCAGGAGAAATAGCTTCCGAGGCGTGTCCGATCCCCTGGGGGAACCGAGTGCTCCTTGCTTCCCCTCTTGCTGGTGGGTCTTCTCCTTTAACCCTGTGCTCCAGCTGCTCCAGGGAAAGGGGATCTGATCCCAAAATAGCCCTAGCAGCTGAGAGGGTGTTTGTGCTAAGCCCGTGGTGGCGGGGAGGTGAGAGGGATAATTTTAGAAGGAGCCGTGCCGGAGAAGGACCCGGGGAGAGCGACGCAGTGGCACTGGCACAGGGCGGGGGGTGTTAGATCACCCCCGTTGTGTGGCTGCCCCTGGAAACTGGATGCTGGCAGGGGTTAAATCCCAGTTTGTATGGGCAGGGCTCTAAGCCATCTCCCTGGGTCCCTTCTGCTGGCTGCAAGAGGACCTCAGCCATGGGAGTCAGCTGGTGTGACTTTCTCTGGAGCTATGAAATGGCTGTGGGCCGGGCTGCCCCTGGGGT